TATATATATATATATATATATGTTATTGCAACGAGTCATACAAGGTAAACATGCGAAATGCCTCATTACTTGAAGGTTTCACTTGCCACAACGCTGAGAGCTGCAGTGCAGCGTCAACGGAAATGTTATACAGCCTCGTACAAGCCGTCAGTGCCGCGTTAAAGTACTGCAGTCATGCATTGCAAGAGTTAAATTCATTGTTTACAACACAATTACTTCAATTTTCTTCAATGGTTACAGAAACGATGTTGGGCATGTCTGAATTTGATGCTTTTACCGGCTTAAAATTAGTGAATGCTGGGGACATAAGGCTTTTCACAGACCGAGTTGTAAATAGCCCTACATCAGCCTTTTTTCAAGAAGATAAAGGAATGCCACTGTCACTCATTTGGAATTTAAAGAAGTCACGACAGTCACTTCGCCCTAACTACACTAGACGTATGATTTATGGCAAACCTCAAGGAGCAATACGAGGGTAGATTAACTCCTTCAATTTGCTACCGCACGACAACAGCTCAAACAATGCAACCGCTGCTAACGACGACAAAACGGATGCAAAACCTTTAACTGTTCTGGCGGAAACCTGAGTAAATTAGTAGGTCACATCGGCACTGCGCAATTGCCTTATACACTGCACTTCCCAATGATGATAATTAGACAATTCCAGAATTGAGTTGAATGCCATAGATAGAATGCTCTTTACAGATATGCCCGCATTCAACCACTGAATGGCAGAGTGCGACTCGCCCAAAAAGTCGAATAAGCGAGAATTCGCATGTCACCGCATGGTTAGAAAGGGGAATCAAATACGACATTTGTTTGGGATATCACGATTAGTGTAAGAAGGAAGTACCTAGGCATTTGAAGAAGAGGGTAATGACGGTTCACAGTTGCCAGTTTCGCTAAGTGCCGAATGTCTTTTCATTTTGTTTGGTCGACAAAAACCACCATTACGATCGGATCCGTCTACCGCCGCGTGAGATCTTTTGAAGGATACCGCATCCTGTTTTTCTGGCGCATGAATCCCATTTTGAGCCTCTAGTCGGTGGAGCCTACAATACCAAACATCACAATCGAATATCGGGATAAGCAGTTTTGGTGTTTACCACTGCTGTTCCAAGACAAAAATGAATACTTACATCAGTGTAGTACAACTAGTACAGTTTTGCCATTCTTTCTAACAACACTAGCTTATTTACCGGTAATCATGAAAAGAAGACTACATTTGGAGTTTTTTTAAGAGGTCGATCACTTTTAGGTATGATTAGCTCCTGGTTTTCAACATTGGTATCACAAACTTGCTGAGGGTCATATGCGTACCTTACCTGTAACCAAGGGAAATAACCATGTTGTTGAGGCGGCCAATTCGTTTAGCCATCTCCCGTTGGGTCGTCGCGAATGAGACGATTGTCTGCTGCATAGCATCAATTTGTTTAGTGAGACTTTGTGGTTGTGCGATCGTCGGTAAATCATTCGCCTCTGGCGCAGTGGATTCGCAACATTCTGTGCGATTCGACTGGAAAAGACAAAAAAGAGCAATGGTGATATGTTAAGAAAAGTGTCCGAACCAACAAACGCAATGTGGACTGATTTGCTATTGAGTATTTAATTTTACAGTAAGATTATATAATAACAAGGTTTAGTAAAACAACCAGAGCATAGCTAAAACAAGCAATTCAGATTTCACTTGATTAGTCTTTTATGAAACTCAGAATCAACCTGAGATAGCCGATTTTCGGTGGCGGAGGAAGGAATAACCGTGCTGGAGGGCGGGACTGCAATACTGCCATCTAATAGATTTGGAAGGGACTGATTCAAATCCTTAAACAGTGATATATGCTGTAGATTCCCACCTCGCCTCTGATAGGTCAGCTCGCCTAGACTTTGCTGTTGACGATGCACTGAAGCCCGAAAAGCGTTAGATTTATTCAGAGCGACCTTGTAAAACAAGAATTATATTCAGCCATCAGTCCTAAACAAAAAAATAATAAACCACCGAACCTCTTAAAACTCTGGATACTTTAACGCTATTGCTGGAGTAGTCGCTAAAGGATTGAAAAAAAGCGAAAATCAATGGGGATGTAATGGGGATAAAACACACGTGTTTCCGAGTAAGACCCACAGATGTGGTTTCACAAAATAAATAGAAAGTTCCCGAACCACAATGAAACGCTTATTCTTCCTGATTTTAAAATAGTACTAAAATCTGTAATAACTAACGAGGACACCTGCGTCAGTTTGATTTACATTTACTCTCGTAGATTTGAGGCAAAAGCACTTCATCGAAGTGCTCCATCGCCATAGAGGAGATATCACGTAGCTCGCGAAGGAGTTCGGTAGAGCGAGAGATGGACGAAGTGGAGGACTTTATGATCATATAGACGCGGCGCAATTCATCTAGAACCTTGCCTGGGAAAAAGCAGCAGTAGCCCTCATCCACGTAGCGCATTATGGTCATACCCAAAAGGGAGAGCCGAGTCTCTACTGCGGAGAGCACATCCGCATGCCTAGAGAGAAGGGAATGGAAAGCCAAGGTTACTAGACTCAACTTGAGCCGAACCCTGCCAGTGTGTGCTTCCGCCGCTCCGATTCTCGTCGTGGTAAGAGCAGCTTCAACTCCCGGCGGTAGTCGCGAACCAACTGTTCCAATCGACAGAACTCACACTTGAGGAGGTCTGCAGCGACTGCATTAAACTTACGACAAACCTGCATTGCAATGTAGCGAGGAAAATCGTAATACTTACTGGTCTAATGAGCGATATTTCATGGAAAGTAAGGAAACTGAAAATTTTCCGCAAACAATCACTTGGCATTTCTAAGAGCTGCATGTCTCCTTTGATGAGCTGAATACGCCGGACTGCATTTGATTCCCACGTATGAGGACTGAGAAAATAACACCTAAAACTATAGAAAGAGATGCATTGACTGCAGTTTAACGCTACCTCCACGAATTCAAACTTGCCAGATCTTTAGAATACAAGCTACGAGCGGTAAAAAAAAATGAAATAAACTCAGAAAACAACATATTCCCATCAGTATTAGCAGCAAGAATTAGCCGGAGAACTGAAGAAAAGCATGAACAGTGAAAAGGCCACATTCCGTACATAAAAACCCCTGTAAATATGCGGGAGCCACTTGAAGACCAGGAAAGAAAGCGCTTTTTCTTCACGCTGTATAACAAGTAAGACTAAATTTGATTCAAATTTAAAGAAAGAGCTATATCTTTACATACAGGCGTGAAACAATAGATGAGCCTAGTTAGTTTTGCAATGCTGCAAATATAAGCAACCACTTGTACAAGGCGAGTCAGCGAGCACAGCATGCGTAGAAAGGAAAAATTTACGAAAACGAATTTATTAAGATAGGCCAAACTCTGTGTAATTAGCGTTCAGCATTAGTAGAAAGCCCATGGATATGTACCCCAGTCAGCTTCAAAGCGAGAATTATTCCGGGTCTTATAAGTGCCATCCAGGTTCTTGCGTTGACTTAACGACTGACGCATCGCATCATCCAATCGCCATAAGCCACTGTACCGATATTCCTGTCCATCTTGATTAAGGCGATATTTGTACTTGGCAGTGAAAAATTCAGAAAGAAGTTTATGGTGTTGCCACCGCTGATTGTGCCAACTTTTCAGGTAGTCACGCGTCAAATATCGAGGATTTTCTTTTGCATCTGGAATCTAAAACAGGAAAGCCATATTAAGAACGCTATGCATTAACTTTAGCATCAACTATTACATAAGCACTAGATAGCGAACTTACACAGAGCACCTTATCCTCTCTGACACATGGATGCTCAAGAATCTTATATTCGGTAAGATCTAATGGTTTTCCAGGACGAAATGGTGAACTTCCACGACGAACAAAGTCGCCGTTCGGCAATAAACGGAAGTTGATCAGATCTTCTTCGGATAAAGGTAGGCCATCTGGGAAAGAAATTGGCTGAATTCTAATTAAATGTTTAATGTGGTCAATCTCCTTTGCTATTTGTGGGGTATTTTTCACAACTTTCCATTGATGTTGCTAAAGCCTAGAACGAAGCACGATTTGATTTACTTTTGTTTTGGGCCCAATACCATACTTCTCTAGAAATGCGCGCTCAAAGAACGTTGTCCCTTTAATTGGCCTGATTTTACATATCATAAAGAGCGGCGATGACTCATTTAAATAAGTGTAGGCTTTCCTTATTTCGTGTAAATCAAAAAGTCTCTGAGCCCATGCAAGTGGGTCAATATGATCAAGTGAACCGGGAACAGGCTTGCTTTCGTAAGTGCGAGCCTTTCCACCAAGCTGATGGCTCCCTGAAAAGAATCTGACTGCTGTTAAGGCTTGCAATTTTGGTAATGCAGTCCTGTGCCAAGCCGCAGTTAACATGGCTAATGTCCTGTCGGGTCCGGTGTTGGAAAAGGCTAGATGTGGACAGCCTAGTAAACCTAACAGCCGCGGGTAATGTAAAGACCTTATGTTAAATCTGTTAACCTCAAAACTTATATCCAATATTCATACAATCAGATCAAAAAGCCGATAACAGTGAAGCACACTAAAGGGTCTTCAAACCCCTTTTTTATAAAAATGGGCATTAGAATTTTTCGGGGATCTAAACAATTAAGCATTTGGTTGATCAGCGATAAATCAGGAATCAAATCAATAACTTGACTATATATCGTGCATTTCAAACGAGATACCTAGTCAAAGCTAGAATTTTGGGGTTATCGTAATCAATATCAGACCCGGAGAATTTATCAATTCGTTATGATGTCTTAGTCAAAACCCAGGGTCAAACGTGCAGTATCCCAGGTCTTCCTTAGCAACCAAAAAGTCGTATTGTTCGGACAGAAAATGTACTGTCGGAGTACAGGAAAGCTGGGAGTCTACTTACATAGCCCAGAGGCTATACCGCCCATCAGAAGTATAAAGACAGAACCTTAAGTGACCACGAAACAAAATGGATGATCGCACAAACAATCAATGTCACAAAGCATATTGTGCAACTATGCACGAGGCTTAATGATTTAATATAGTTTTGACTACGCATTTTATTACGCTTGAAATGGATACGCTACAGGTTGCACAATCGAGCTTCGGCACTTCTACCCCCCAACTGTTCTGTGCTTTAATATCACATGCTCCACAATGCTACTCTTTCTGTACAAACTCCTTGGAAGACACTAGAGGATCTTTGCACTCGGTTTATAAAGCTTAAAAAGGCTAGAACTTAAGCAGTCTTTAGGAGAGTTCTTGTTTCCCTATATTATGTCTTTTGGGTTAAAGGAAATTAATGTCACATCATTGTTTGGAAGATTTAACTTTGCAATTAAGGCAAAAGTTTGTAGTCGCTATTAGATACCAAATATTCCGTATCACTTCTATCGCTTTCAGTGATTGAATGACCCTTTCGTCGTATGGGAGTCTATTTGCTAATTTCTTTGCATGTATCCATAAATTTTGCGTTCAATCAATTTGTGGGAATTCAAAAATCATTGGGAGAAATCGGTATGGTTGCGTTCTGTTGCTGTGCTTCTTTTGTACAGCTATTATTATTATTCTGCTCGGAATATTTCTTGCTACCAGTAGATGGCTTACCTATCTGGCGATACACATGCTTTTCATTTACTATTTGCTACTTTTTTTCCGTATTTTGCCCCTAAATAGGTGTTGGGGATGTTCACTCTTATTTAACTTAGTTTAATTTATTTTCAGTAGCCGGTTTTGGGCTACTAGACGCATTTTAGTTCTCTACACTTGTACATATACTAGACTGTCGATAAGCCATCCCATCGTTTACCACTGCTAATCCTCTGTGCATTTGTACTATGTAATGTTTGTTTAATTGTTCAGGCGTAATCGATCATTCCGAAACAGCCTAATGTCTTCAGTTATCAAAGTCCCTCCAAGCGGTGATCATAAACTTTTGTCTCCTGACTCTTCCTTCCTGAAGCCGCCCAGTGTGGTACCATCACTAGATCGGCTATCTTCTTCTTGCTACGGCAAAGTTCAGGGTTCGCCTGTACTTTCATTGCTAAACCGATACTGATGCGCTTTAATAAGCTTCGCTTTCTATATAGGTGAGAACGACCCAGGTGCGCAAAGTAGTCCTCGTCAGTCCCAGTCGGCACATTCAAAACTGTCTACGGTCTCTCTGAAACGGTCCAACTCGTCCAATGTGCCACAAGTGAGTGAATCGACGAACAAACCACAGCCACCGTTTAAACGCCCGGCCGTTCTCTCTACAGGGCTCAAGTCTGGTAGCAACCAAACATTTGCGCGATCGGGTTTTATGAAAGGCAAAACTCTAGGGTCAGCGGCGGGATCGGTTCGTCAGGATAAGATGGGTAAATGACTGCTTTAGGTGTATCATGCCTTTTTGTGCTGGCATTTGTTCAGCTATTTATTTCTGCGTTTTTACGGCAGTTTATAATATACATTCATGCATCAAAGGAGGTATTCGAATTGTGTTTTCTGCAAAGCTTCTTAACGGAATGTAAGTTTTATTTTTTAAATTTGATCTATTACAATCAGTCTATTGAAGTTACCCTTTTCTAATGAAGCAAAAAAGTTATTGTTTTTCAATTTTAATGAATGACAACCTTCCGTCTATTTTCAGTTGCAAAAACAACTCGACTCACCGTTCATGATCAATCGAAGTCAACATTTTTTCGATCTTTGAAAAACACCCAGGCTTCCAGTTCTGTGAGATTTTATTATTATATCTACTATATTTACTTTTAACGCTGCATTCATTCCAATTTTTATGTTAGGTTTAACTTTCGCACGGTGATGACTTAAAATGTCAATAATACCAACGTGGCAATATTTGTTTCATGATTTACTTGTTGGCTGTCGTATGTTATTCGTACCTACATTTTGGTACAGTACGATTTACTCTTGCCTTGCGAATATGCCGTATACGAGGGATCTACACGATGAATACCAGCAATTTAGTAATCCTTCACTTCACTCCTAGTTCAATCTATTGTGCCCTGTATCTTCGTGTTGTTTTATTACCCTTTTAAATCACTGCTAATTGTTTTCCTTAGAATGTTGCAGTTGGTCGGTTTTATCAATTCCCGGTTTTCGGTTTGAACGATTCCATTTCGCACCTAGGTATTAAACATTAAATGAGCACATTCCTAACCGTACTTGTTCTAATTCAGGCGCCTTCTAGGTCGAAATGTTTTAAAGCATTGGGAACTCCTTCCACTGCCAGAGATAGTGGGACGACGACTGTTGCTGCCGGAACCAAGAGTATTTCGTCGACTCCGAATTCTCAAGTAACAAAGTCTCTAAAAGGTACCATTAGGTTTCTATCCTTCGTCCTCTAAATCTATTGTAAAGTATTAAATTTCTTCAAATTACGGCGGGATTTTGCTATCAAAAGTCTCTATTCAGACCTATTCTTTACATTTATGTCATAGATAATGTTTACACTATTCTGTTTTTGTGACATTCACCTTGAGGTGCTGGTGCATAGTCTGTACCTCTGAAACTACTCCATTATGCTAGTGATTTTCTTCGTTTTGGACGGCCTTGTTGTTGTATTAGACGTTACATATGGGTATAAGTTGCCGAGTTTCTTCCATAAATGACGACCCTTTGATCCAACTTTTTCTTTGCATAACCTAATTTCAGAGATTCCAAGTTTTTACCCTTTTTCTTACCCCGGTCACTTTTAAATTGTGCGCTTTTTGCAAAACCCACGTTCGTACACACACATATGACAGGTGATGTGGTTTTCAGTTAATGACCTGCACACTGCTTAAGACTCACCATTCACCGCTATTTTAGCTATTGTTTTAAGCGTTACATGCCCTCTTGGTGCTGCTGACAATGATTTGAGCTGATTTGGCACATCTACCGTATTATATCAGGAACTACGTTTAAACCATGTTCTGTGTCTTTTCATAATCAAGCTTCGACTAAATTGATTTCCTGATGTAAAAATGAGGACAATTCCATCTAAATGTTTCTATTTGACCCTATGCATCACTCAGATGCTAGGTTAACGGGGTCAAATTGACTGTCACGAGTGCTTCGTGTCGCGCCGTAAAATACTCTCGACTCAAATTGCGCAGTTCTATCCACCCTGGATATGGAAATGTCGGCATGTCGCCTTTCGTTTTCAAATCGCGATACATTTGAGATTTCTGCAAAGGGATGGATCCCATGATTTGATCTTTGAACTTTGAGCTTTTTTGTCAATTATTAAAATTCCTTGCTTTAAATTTTGCTTTGGTTTGATTTGGGATTAAAACGTACCATTCACCTCGAAATAATGCATCTGATTTCTTTATTTAATGAAAAAAATGGAAGATTTTTGGCGTAGAAAATGCCAGTCTTTATGTTTCTATCAAAACACGTTGCTTTTAATTTCTAAACTTTGTTAAGCATTTACATCGCCATAGTGAGGATATTGGATGAGGATTGTATACTTGAGTGTATAAATTTAATAAAGTGCTTTTTAACATCGGATGAACATGGAAAGTCACTTGTGCGAATGACCAGCAACTTTTCGACACCATTGGATATCCAATTAAACTTGTCTGTAATTGTACAGTGTGGGATTTCTTTACAGCTTGATTGCTATGAGGTAAGATCATGAGAACCTTGTTTCTCTACAATGGCTGAAGGACATTATCTAGTTTTATCTGATGACTTGGGCAGACACCTAATCTCTTTACAATAGGCATTTCTTTGACAAATATCATTGCCAATTCGCAGACCGTATTTTCTTAGTAGCATTACACAAGTATTGAACTTGGTCCTTCTGTAATTATCATTAAATAGGTGCAAATTATGGTTCGCGAGTATCGATGAAGTATAAACCGTTTATGTGAAATATGCAGATCACTTGGCCGAAATACGAGAAGGTTCTACGTCGCGCGGGGGTCTCAACACGAACCCGCCTCTACGGAAGCCCTCCCGTACGGCCACTTCTGGTGCCTCGTTCCTACGCGACGGTGCACCTACCAGCCTCGTCCCAAAGACCAAGGTGGGATCCCAGTCACCCTGCGAAGAGGAGTTATTAGTGTTGAGACAACAATTCGGTACCAGTCTGGCAGAGTGGAACAAGGTTTTCGAGGTTCTTTGCATCTTCGCACAGTGGTCTCTTAACTCAAAGGATAGACTCATAAAAGAGGCTTCTCACCGCGAGGATTTGCTCAGATCTCAGTTAAAAATGCGTTCAGATGAGTGTGGTGAGTTGTTAAAGTTGTTTTCATTGTACAAAGCGAAAATCATTGTCTTCCCAAAATGGTTGCATTCTGCTTTTGAATCCTTTGATTATTCTGAGCCAAAATCACTGGGGTGTACTTCCGGTACTACTTTATCAGGCTTACTTGAAATGATTTTATCAAACTTTTAGTCTTTTCTCCACTAAACTATAAATATCAAGCGCGAGTTTTCATTGTCACGCTGCTTTGCTAGTGGGTAGAGGAGAAAGGGAACCAAACTTTTAGTTTTTGTTTGCTGCGTGGTTGATTAATGTAACCCTCTTAATGCAGATGGGGGTTGCTGTGGTTTTCCTGTTTTTAATAATGTCCAAGACGCTACGTATGCATTGCATAAGACTTACCCTATGAGTACTCATCTTGAGAAGGGCTGGGAGGGAGTACTTCAATGTATTTTAACGATATACGACATGGTAGCCAATTTTTTTTGAAAAGTTAAAATGTTAAAAGTTAAATCGTTTGTTTTTCGATCCTAACTCAATAAGATGCTACGCTTTTCGCTCATCCGTAGCCTTTGGTATTAGATTTTATTGAGAAATTTAAAGTTGGAAAAGCAGTAGAAGCATTTTACCAGCTTTTGATGTTGATGAACTTACAGCATAAGTTATCACCGAAACTGCATCGAGGAAAGGTAGGGTATGGTTCCAAGATGTAATTGGGTTATGGCTTAATGTTTGTAAATGGAACAATGTAACTGCCTGGGTTTAAAATAATGATGTTTCAGAGGAGTGACCATCTAGAGATTGAGTTGCCTTTTTTCTACGAAAATCAAAGTTACAGAAAATGGGGGAGGGTTTAATCATGAATTTAATATTTATAAACTCATTTTTAAAGCTAGTGGGAGGTCCAATCTACTGGCAACTATGATACATCTCGGGCTTAAATTTTTGGCCTGAAAGGGGCTTTCATTCTTCGGAGTTATTTTGATTTAAATATTTCAGGACGTGAAGTAAAATGTACGCTTATCACGAAGACCCGAACTGATGCCATTTGATATGTCATCGAATCCTCACTAAATTATTTGTAATCTGTCATTTTCCACGAAACGGACTTTATATTCTTTTTAACCACCATTGCGCACTCTGTCTTCCTAATATGAGAGTGCATATTGTACTGCGGTTCTTGGTTCTCAGCTCAGCAAGAAGCCTCTCGTATGTTTTAGCCCAGTTTGCGGTGCAAATCAAGGAGCTCTTGCAGCAGCATGCAGGAAGCCAACGGGAAAAGGCAGAAATGTGGGAAAAGGAACGTCAAATCATGCAGATCGACATGGAGAACCTGCGAGTAACTCTTCGAACGGAAAAAGAAAAAGAGATCGAGAAAGGTAAGTGATTCGTAGCTTATTTGAGTTGTCTTGTGCTGTTTTACTCCCACTAGTCTATCTGGGGTCTTGAGCAAATCACTAACTTATTACAACGGCTTATTGCCTGATTGTTCCAGCACAAATGGGAATGTTTTGCTTTTGCGCGCTGTCGTGCCTGAGAACCTAGGGTAAGGTATCGACAAAAATACCTTTTTCATCCAACGAAGGGAGAAGTTCTAGGGCACCTTTTCTGCTTACATTTTGTAGTCCTATTTGTCGGCAGCGTGCTGCCTTCGTTTTTGTTAGCATTTAAGAAGATGTACCGAAAGGGAATGACAGGCTGTAAACGATGCGAATGAACCACGTTGGGAATGTTTGGTTTCATCGCCAGCCTCATGGAATTGGGACAGGATACCGCTCAGCTGCGTCTGCACGCAAGAACTCGGGAATCTTCCACACAATCACTTCGTAAATGTGTGCTTGCGCAACCGGACTTTGGCCTTTCCAAATAGGATGAGTGAATTGCTCTCAAAGATGGTTTTAAGTGCAGTGAACACTTCTTATGAGTGAAAGCGTCCTGCTTGTGATTGAGAGCCATTAAAGCCTGGTTTTGAGGTGTTGCCTTAATTTTGTCGCTCTTGCTTTCCTATGCTAGTTTACGTGTTCCACGCTCTCGCGTGATTTTGCGAAGTGGTTATTTGCTTATCTATCAGTTCGCATTGTTTAGCCCCTTTTTTACTAAAATTAATTTTTACTTGTTTAAGGTGAATCTAAACGTCCTCCAATCACTCAAATCTCCCCCACTTTGTTGTTATAAAAAGCTTTGGCAGGCAATGTCTCGTAGCTTCAATATAGCATCAACTTGAAGTTAACCGAAACTGTCCTCCTCTGTGCTGGTAGATGGCAATCAGATCAAATAATTAGGAAAGGCCAACGTGGCAGGATTTGTGATTTCTCTCTTATTGGGCTGTTTGGTCTCAAGATCCTCCATAGTCGACCTTTCGTTTTGCATCATGAAATGGACTGCGGAAGCAAAGTTTTACCAGATTTTCATCCTGAGGACTCTTTGTCTGTTGCAAATCTCCAGTATGGATTCAAGACTACCTAGTCTGCTGATTCCGATGTCTAATCTACACTGTCTAGGGGATTATCATACTTATTTCATTTTGGTTACGCCTAGGTAAGCACATCGCACTGTAATTTTTTTGCTGTGATTACAGGCCACTGATGCGATTAGCCACTGCGCCATATTCTGTTACTGCACAGCTGCCTTCAGACAAATTGAGCATACCATTACAAATGAACGTCCTTCTTCCTCAAGACCTATTTATACTAACATCAACTTAATTGCATTTTCTCACTCCTTATTTATCAGTAGTAAGTGCGCCGCGTTTGGGCATCAGTAGTGCCATATCTGCACAGCTGTGTTTAAAACCAGTGATTTTGGAACAAATTTATCATTTTCTCTCGCCTAAATGTGCTGTATTCTTCCCTAATGAAACGAACACTATTCTGAATAAAATTGGCATTCTGTTAAAATCATTGGTCCAGCGTTAAGATTAAAAACCTAGTTTGAAGTGCTGTCGGTGCAAGGCGTTACGCTTTATTTGAGCTTGCTATGAAGCAGCAGAATGGCTTCAAAAGTTGGTACAATTTGTTCAAATGTTCTTACAATCTGTTGGTTTTTTAGAATTATTTCACTTTAATATTTTCAAAATCAACTTTTAGTTCTCCTCCAACGAGATGCAGACATATCGGAATTGCAGAAGGCCTACGACAGTCAGGTAGGTGAATCATTATTTTCAGTTTGAGCTCGAAATATGAAGCCACCTTGTTGAATTCCACATCAGCCTCGATAAAGAAGCGTTGCGCCACCTGGTCCGACCATGTTATTTGTGGTTTTGCCCCCAATGCACCAGCGATGAGCTTATCTGGCCGCCAGCCAATGGAGGCTGAGACCAGAAGTGTGAGCCGGGGCTGGCTCACTTACATTAAAGCGTTAATCTTACGCTGCGTCTTGTTGATATTCCCCCATTTTTGCGTGCTGACATTGTTATGCATTTGGGTTGAAACATTACATTTTTTGGGCAGGCAGTATGCAAGATTTGCCAAAAATGGGCGGAGGAATCTATCGGTAAAATTAATTAAGAAAAGCCAATTCCCGTTTATCACATTTGCCTACCGACTGAAAGTTGCTTAAACTGAATGTCAAAGCGATGGTGCCGTGATCATTAATTGCTTTCTTTTTTGCTGCAAATAACCATTCAAACACAGTCGATTCCTGCCTATGAGGATTGGCTTGTCTTCATTAATAAACTGACATTTTACTTTACAGGCCTTTCTTTTCATTAGTGGTAATTACTTTGCACTGGGTGACCCATTCTCCACATCACAGATTAAATACCTCGCTATGCAATGTAATCCCATTTTCTTTGGCGTGTCGTTCTACTGCTGCCTTCTCAGCGGTCAAAACCTCAATTTGTCTAAAATTAGTGCGTCACGTGACAAGGCCTGAGAACTAAGCCTTCATGCCCTGCTGAAGTTTCGGTCGACATTGAAAAAAGTATTGTGGGTGAACTTCATATCTTTCTAGATAGACTGACGCTCCTTGAATTTAGAATTTTGAAATGGTGGTGGTGTCTCCATTAGGTTGTTTTTCTGCTCCCCCAGCTTTCCGAGGAGCGTCGAAAGTGGGCTGCACGGGTTGCGGAATCCCATCAAAAATTTTCCAGACAGTTTGATCAGCAGCAGATTGAACATGAATCTCAAATCGTGGGTACGTTACTCCCTCCATTTCTTCAACCCGATCGTCCTAATGCATATGGTTATGAAGATTTCGTGCACTGGGATCTGTGTTCTGAAATCCCGACATTTGCCACGAATTTGCTTGGACTCCGGACTTAACGTAAATCCGTTTCATCTGCCCAGATGAATTGCATGATCATCCGGTCAGTAGGACAAAATAACGGCCTCTTCCCGATAGTAACGCTATAACACCCGGAAATGGACCACGGCACCTCTTGTTCTTATGTATTGGTCGACTGATTTAATAAGCCATCGTATTCATGGAAGGCAAATAGACCTTTACGGCATCTGGAATTGATGGGCGCAGTTTTTTCCCATAGAGAATGTGGGATATTGCGGAAGTGTGCAGTTGCGCGCTTGTGGGTTCAACGTTTCCGAACTGCTTACCGTGTGCTTATTTTGCCTCTCAGGGTGTTTGCGTGCACTTCTTGCAAACTTGTATTACTCCTTGTAATGAGTGTACTAACGACTCTGCTTTTCTCGTTTTTGCCCATTCAAGTAAAACTAGGTCCACTTTATATGGATATTTACTAATTACAAAATTTTCCCCGTTACTTAGTCTCCCCAAACTAATTCTTATTTCAATTTTTTGTTATTTCCAGAACTCAGGAGCCATAATGCAACACGTGTTGCGGAGTTGGAAAATTGCCTCAAATCTATGGAACTTGAGTTTTCAGTAAGCTGTCGTGCTGGACGCAACTTTCGCCTTTTCCTTCAAAGTGATGTAGAGACTGTTCATTAATTCGATATTAAGATAGTTGCTCCAGCTTATTGCTAAGGATTTTTGCCATTAACTGTTACCACTGGTTTACGTCGCGACTTCCGTTCACATCTCGTTCCCTAGCGATCTTAGGTGTGATCCAGGGTGCATACATTGGTCGAGAGGTGAGCCCGCCTGTAAGTCCTTTTTCAAGTAGCTGCACTTGAACATAGAGAGAGACTGTGCTGGTTTGCCGATCATGTGCCTTATTTTTCAGTCACGATTAAAGCACGTCGACGCTGCTTTAGAAATTTGCGAGCTGTCATATATTGCCTTATAAATACCGAGCGACGTTTCCTTATTGCATAGGCTGCTATGACTGTTTACAGTTTTGTGCAGACATTCATAGGATACTTCATTGAAGGGCAGAGTACCTTTCATGTTGGCGACTTGCCTAGAGCTGAAGTGTAACTGAATTTGATTTACAAATTATCCACCATTTATGCTACCTGTGTACGTATTTTTAAGCGTCCATTGCGTTGCTTGTGTCTCAGAGGGCACTCATGGCAAAACATGGAAAAGGTATGCGGGTTTCGGCTGATGAAGCCTGCTAGTGGTTCACTTGGTGTGCCAAATGTTTTAGGCGAAGGTGAACCGCCTCCAATCAGAGTGTGATGAACTGCGCAGACTCTCCGAAGAGGCCCAAAAAAATTCTTTTGAAACACCACAACAACTACTACCATTCACACAACCGAAGATGTCGAACTTCTCTGTGAGTTACCATTGTCTTCGCTCGTTTCACTGAACCAGCTTTTTACCATGAAGTTTGTCCATACCTTTAAACCTTGGTTTACCCATCCAATTTTTGTATTGCCGATGGTATTGTACTAGGATCTCCGAAAGAGTAACTTGGCTTGCATGTACCCGGAAGGATGCACTTTCGTTACCTGATAGTCGCGGCCTTTTTTACCAGATGAACAGGTTTCCGCACCTTCCTGTTCTTCAAGCCAGTCATCGAGGCTTAAGGCCAATTTTTGGTTGATTCTATTGGCGGAATTCCAATTTTTTTCATGGTGACACAGCTATAGTGACTTTTCTGTCTTAGTAGTTTTGCCATTTGAAAGGAAATAATGAAAGTGGAAGCTTTTATTTAACCAATGGCTGCCTTTAACTTCGATAATATATGAGGGAATCGGAAAATCCACGCGGTTTTTGGTGTAACTCGCTACTATTTCTTGTAACTTGTAGGAAGGGGTACAACCAATGCGATTTTTGTACATATGCATTATAGAGCAGATACGCCCCAGTCTATTGATATGTTACTCTTTGTCCTCCTCGTCACTGTTTTCCGCTTGTTTTGATTT